ATTCTGATGCTTGATGCTTCCACTCACAGTTGTTTTTCGGGGACCGATCGCACGGATCAACTGAAATAATCTCCGGGCATTACCTGCTTTCTGGGCCTCTTCCATTTCTTTGGCTTTCTAAGTCCACCATACTTCACCGTCGCATCGCAAACTCACTTTCACTTGACGTCTGATTGCTCTTCGCATCGGGTTATGTTCGGGACCGGCTGGGATATTTCTTCGAGATTTAAGTAGTGCCACCGTTCGGTCTGACATCCAGTGCTTGAGTGCGCCTGGATGGGTCGTGCCACAAGGCAAAATTCCCAGCACTATGCAAAGAGGTGGCACTCTCGTCCCACTATGAGTTCGCATCTGATGGTGGAGCACTTGGAAGAGACTCCAAAACCTTGGTATTCAAATAGCCTGTGAAGAAATCCTTGTCGATCTGGAATATGCAGACGACATTGCCCTCATGTTCGAAGAGGAGGAGAAGGCATAAGTATTCTTGGATGAACTGACCAAAGTCATCCCGTCCTTTGGTATGCACTTCGCACCCACAAAGTGTAAGGTCATGCTCGTGGACGTGCAGTCACTGAACACGCCACTTACGATCCAGGGAAAGGCACTGGAAGTTGTGGAGCGTTTTACTATATTGGAAGTTGTATTAGTTCTGACTGTAGTGTGACAGATGAGGTGAATGTACGAATCTGCAAGGCTCGGGCCGCGTTTGCTAACTTGAGACACCTATGGCGTCAGAATGGTTTATCCCTAAGTCTGAAGGGACGTGTGTATCAAGCTACAGTACGGGCTGTTTTGTTGTACGGCTGTGAGACTTGGCCTATTCGAGCAGCGGACCTGAGACGTCTTCAGGTGTTCGACAACCGTTGTCTCAGAACCATTGCTCGTGTGGGTTGGTGTCGGCGAATCCCTAACGAGGCGGTTAGAAAGCGTGTTTTCGGTTGTACAACGGGTACTTCCACTGAAGAATGTGTCCATCACCAGAAGCTGCGTTGGTTGGGACATGTGTTGCGTATGCCGAGGCATCCTTTACCGAAGACAGTGCTCAACTCAGAGTGGCGTAAACAGAGAGGTGGCCAACCCTTGACTTGGCAGAGGAGTATGAAGGAGATCACGAAGCGCTTGGGTGCTGTCGGTG